GAAAAACTTAAAAGATTTTCAATATTTGTATTTTTTACAACTCTTTCATCATCACCACCAATCGAGCCTCTAAGGCACGCCACTAGTATCCCTATTACACTACACTGATTCAGGGTCCCTAAGCCCTAAATAAGGGTGATGTAATAAGAGTAAGGGTTCCTTGGTTGGAATCAGTGTTCTCTTGCGAGGATTTGTGAACGAAACGCGTGAAAGAACATATAACTGACGACGAGCACCGACGCTTCGGTAAGTCTTCAGTCTGTGAACATGCTCAAGATCGTCCCCACCATTATATCAGATTTGATTAACCACAAATCCTCGCAGTAGAACACCGATTACTACCAAGGATGATTACGACGCGAGGCTACTGAAATTAAAAAACATCCTAATTTCAATATAGAAGATGGATGGGTGCTGCCATCTCCTTGGCATGCTATAATTAATAAAATTAAATCCAAACCTAAGCATACCACTTCAAGACTTCATGATACTGTAAGCTCGTTCTGCGTAGATAGGACCAAAAATTAATGAAAATGGGGGGGTCCATGAAATGAAAATGAGGGTCCACGATAGTGGATCTCAACACATACACTGATAGTACCTATTTACATACTTACATCATACAAAACATATACATTATTTATAAAAGTACCTACGAAGTAAAAAAAAATATTATATATGTTTATAAAATTGTGTAAGTTGTAGGATGTTGGTATTCGCTTTGTGGTCGCAATACATTTTGAACTTGTAAAAACCTGAGAGTCGCAGTCTCAGAGCTTCGCTACCTTGCACTGACTTGTTCAATTCGTCACTCTATAAATACGAATGTGGGGCAAATACGTTTATTCGTTTCCTGAATCTTGAAAAGGAAAGTGCTAACAAAATATTTAAAAAAATATAAACAGATAGTATATCACACAAATTATAGTGAGTCAGTGTTATTTTGTTTGAGAGTGCTGGAGAAATGTAAGTACATTATTTTTTATTAAATTTTAGGTTTGTAGTCGTAGTTAGCAAAGATAGATAAATTACGCCAATCATGACTTTAGTTATTAGTAGTTTAATATTCAATCATGCAAAATTACACGAGTACTCCTCAATAGTTTCTTTTTGAAAGTTTTAGCAATCGGTATTATAATTACAGTGCAATCTCCGTAATTCGAGCTAATTGTTTCAAGAAGATGTTCGAATTATGGAATGTTTTCGGAAAAATCAAAAAATATTTTTAATATACAGCTGCTGGATTTTCTGTCTTATTTAAATAATTTAATTTTGCCCACAGATGACTGATGCCATGTCCGAATCTAAAAAGAAATGTAGACAGTACAGTGTCGATTATTTGAAATTTGGCTTCATTCCATCATTGCCGGACAAACAATTGCCTATGTGCCTTTTATGCAACAAAGTTTTAGGCAATGACGCTATGAAACCAACTAAACTGCAAGATCATCTGAGAAGATGCCACCCAGATAAAACAGAGACAGATTTGAAATACTTTCAAACACTCAAAGATAAACTTCAGAAGAGACCTACACTGGACAGAATGTTCGCTTCGACGTCACAAAGAAATGATGATGGTTTGCGGGCGTCTTACAATATCTCGTTACTTATAGCAAAATCCGGAAAACTGCATACTATCGGAGTAAAGTTAATTTTGCCAGCCGTTGAAGAGGTTTTAAAAACTGTTTTACACAAACCTGCATCTGATATCATTAAAAGAATTCCCACACACAATTAAATGAATTCTCATACAATTAAATGAGTTCTGATATTGAAAGCTTATTATGTAATTATTTGCAAACGACCCATTTCTCTATACATCTGGACGAGTCAACTTTACCTGATAATGCAGCATTATTATTGGCATATGTTCGTTTTATTATTAATCAAGAAATCTACGAAGAACTGCTCTTCGTAAGAACTGTGAAAACCGACACTAAAGGTGAATCAATATTTCATGTTTTAAGGATTACTTCATTGAAAAAGCAATTCCTTTATCAAATATAATATCGGTAGCTACAGATGGAGCACCTGCCATGGTTGGACGTTATCGTGGATTTATAAGCTATTTAAAACAAAATGTGTCAGGGGTGTTAGCAATACATTGCGTCATCCATCGACAACATGTTAGATTGCATGAATCACTTCATTAAGTCATTGATGCATGATGATGTTGAATACGCGGTTATTTGCGCAGTTGTGTGAAGAAAATGACGAACACTTTCATCAATTACTCCTTCACACTGAAGTACGCTGGCTGTTGAAAGGCTTATGTTTGACAAGATTTTTTGCACTTTTTGAGACTATTTTAGAATTTCTGAATACTAAAGATAAAATTTTAAAAGAAAATTTACACAACAGACATCGCCTATTTAACAGATTTGTTTACAAAATTTAATATGGTTAATTTGCAATTACAAGGCGACACTTTAAATTTGACTAAAACAAAGTCCATTTTATCAGCGTTTCTTGCCAGAGTTAAACTAATGAAGCAAAATATTGTTACGCACTCAAGTCAACTAGCGCCATCTAGTGCCAGGAACGAGAGCAAGGGGAGCATTGAGAAAATGACATCACAAATCACTTAACCGACAGCGCCTAGTCGAAACTCGAACGCTCGGTACCTTGCGCGTGTTTACTTGAACATTCTGGATATTTCTTTGCTAATTTAAATAAATAGGTGCTGCAAGATGCGATCGTGGTAGAGTTGAACTCAGCGACACAAGCGAAGCTTCGGAGCGGAATTAAGTGAATTAGTGTGTTTAATTATTAGTGTTTTTAGTTTTAATTTGCGTAAAGTAAATTAAAGTGTTAATTTAGGTAATTTTAGCGGCAATTTTTATTGTCACGAACCTCAAGCTCGTAACAATATTGGACGGGGCGAATTTTCTCAGTTCCCGAATTTGTCACAGACAAGCTGCCAGGAAGACGACGTTTCAACTTACGTTCAACATTTAAATGCCCTCTATTCAGATTTTGAATCTAGGTTTGAGGATATTTTGACTATGGTAATACCACCGTGGATAATTAATCCATATGGTAACATAGAAGAAACGAATGTCATAATACAAGAGGAACTGACTGAACTAAGTACAAACGAAGAACTTAAGGTTCAGTTTAAAAACGGATACCAGCAATTCTGGCTGCAAAACAACATACCGTTACTTATCCCGTATTATGGAATATAGCGAGGAAATTTTTAATTTCCTTTCCATCGTCATACCTAGTGGAAAAGGGGTTCAGCACTGTAACCAATCTCCTAACGAAAAAAAGAAAGAGACTGGACATCATTAGCCGAGGAGATTTAAGATTAACCCTTACAAAATTGACGCCAAATGTTGATAATTTATTATTAAAGCATCAAGTTCATCCTTCTCACTAAAAATATTGACTTATTGCTTATGTTATTTTATTTATAGTTTATTTTATGTTTATTTAATGCTACGTATATTTTACATAACAGATACAAAATTTTATTTTGAGTAGTTTTAATTTAAATTCAATTAATAAATGTATAAATTAACATGTGTTTTTACTTTAAGTTTTTAACACTAAACTTCACTACAGTTAGAAATTTACAGGAAATCAATATCAGGTAAGTAGGGGGTCTACCCAACACGGAAAACATGGCAAGGGGTCTACGACACAAAAAAGTTTAGGGAACTCTGCTCTAAAGCACCCGAAATGTCGGAAATTAAAAATAAGTTAATTAAACGCGATAAAATCCGTATAAATAGTTTTATTCAACGTGTAGTGTTCGCGTAAATTTAAGAAATCTTTATTTTGAAGTGTAGTAAATGAATTGCACATCATTTATTTTTTGGACATAGGTACGAGTTCATATGGCGGCCGACTGATCAGCTCTGTCTCCATGTTCAGCTGATTGACCATCACTACTTTTATTTATATGCAATATACAAGTTTTATAACAATTTTCAACCTTAGTAAATTCATTTTATTACCTCGGCAGATACAACACCTTTGATAGTGCACCTGAGTCACTTGTTCTCAGTTTCGCTTGACTGACTGCAGTATGTTTGTGTACACCACCATTGTAATGAACTATAAAAAAATAGCCTTAGTAAGTTCAAACAGTTAATTAATCAAACCGATTCTCTTATAACATCGAGATCGTACAGTTGTTTGGCGTTGCAAATCTTGATTAAAAGCGTCGTGCGTCTGGTGATTGGGCGCGGCCAAGCCTAATTTGAAGGTTACAGGGGCAAAACAAGAAATGTCACAAAAAATCCAAAAGTTAATTTATGATGGCAACATTCTCATTTCTCAGAGTATTTTTGTTTGGCATTACACAAAAAGCGTAAAAACAAGCATTGTCAGATGTATTACTAGAATTTCAAAATTGTGTGCAGGAACAAAACAGGGAAGGTCCATGTTGTAACGGAACGTAAGAAGGAATGTCCTAGCTGTCAAAATATTTTAAGTTAACTTTGAGGCACAGAGTACCTTTGTATAAACTTTGAGGTTATCTCGAGTGTTTGTTCGGAGTTGCTGTTTGTGATTTGAATTTGTTATTTCGATTTACCGCTGTAAAAATGAGTGATAGTGATGAAGAAATCAATAACACTTTTGTGCATAACACAAAGAAACGAAAGAAAACAGGAAGAATGCGTGAAGTGATAAAAAAATTGAGAGTTTCTACGCACGAGCCAGGAGATGATTGCAGGTGTAAAAGATTGAAATGTTTTGATAGAATATCATCAGAGCAACGTGCAAAACTACTTAAAGACTTCAACAGCATGAACTACACAGATGAACAAAATATATACTTATGTGGCTTGATGAATGTGTGTTCAATAAAAAGGAGGCGAAGTAGAAAAACAGAAGAAATGGATGCTAATTTCCATCAAACGCATTTCACTTACTAAGTGAGGGTGATAGAAAATGATGAGACAAAAGAAGAACCTGTTTGCTGCAAAGCATTTTTATCCATATTTGGCATTACCAAAGGAAAAATTGAACATCTTCAAAAGTCATTGAAAATGTCAGGTACTGCACCAAGTGACAAAAGAGGCAAGTCAGGTTCAAACAAGAGATTAGACAATAACAATAAAGATTTGATATGTAATCATATAAAATCCTTTAAAGGACGGCAAAGTCACTACAGCTTGAATGATACAAAAAAAAAATATCTACCTGAGGACCTAAACATAAAGAAAATATATAAGTTGTACTTAGATGCATACAAGTCACAAAATCATGTATCTTATGAAACTTACAGAACCATCTTTAATACAGAGTTTAATATATCATTTGGCTATCCCAGGACTGATACCTGTAGTGCTTGTGATGAATTCAAAATAAAAGCGAAGGCATTGAGAGCTGAAGGAAATATTGTAGAACTTAATCGGTTAACTATTCTGAACAATTTGCACAAGAAAAAGGCTCAAACATTTTATGATCGTAAGAAAAATGCAAGAATCAAGAGCAAAACAGATGTGGAATTTCAAGCAATTGCCATGGACTACCAGAAGAATGTGTCGTTGCCAAACATCACCACAAGCAATGTCTATTACAAACGTCAATTATCAATGTACTCTTTTAATATTCATGCATTGGGTGATGCAAGCTCCTATTTTTACACCTATCTAGAAACCTGTGGATGTAAGGGTTCAGATGAAGTGGTTTCATTTATCAGTTCTGTTTCAATATTTAACAAACCACCTGGATAGTCGTGTAAAGCATTTAGAAATATTTTGTGATTCAGCAGGTGGACAGAACAAGAACTACACAGTGATAAGGTTTATTCATTTTGTTGTCCATAAAATGAAACTTTTAGATTCTATCAAAATTACTTATCCAATACGAGGACATTCGTATTTAGAATGTGATAAAAATATGGGCCTAATCAATCTAAAAGCTCACATTGAAGTTCCATACCAGTAGTATGATTTGCTGAGAGTAAGTTGCCAAAGACCCAAACCCTTTGAGGTAATTGAGGTAGGAATAGGTGAACACATAAGAAAATTTACAATTTTTTAAAAAAATCTATACATGAAAAAATGCTCATTTCCTATTCAGTCCCAAAGAGAATTGAAGTGTGTATGAGAACACCCTAGAGTTATTTTACACAGAAGTAATTATAATGGTTTATGAGAGAAATCACTTATTGTGGCAAAAAAGGAACCCGGGTCAAATGACACATCAAATGAATTTGAATTGCCAGATTTTGCCTATATCAATTTCTTACCCATTAGTGCAGAAAAGTACAAGGGCTTAATGGAGTTAAAAAGATTTTTTCTGAGGGGGCCCAATCCTACTTTGAAAGCATTCCTCATGCATAATCAGCAATGCATTTAGGTAGTTGGACATTCCTTGTATGGGACACACTGTACATTCTCAGTTTTTGTATGTTGTAAAAGTGAACTACTTTAATATTTTATTATTTTCAATTTTTTTATTTCCATAAAAGTAGTTTTTCTTTCTTAAATTAACACTTTAAAAGGTAAACTTAACTTTTTATTAGCAGTGTATAAGTTTAAGCCATACCTAAGAAAATTGTTAACTTTGAAATATAGAAATGTTAATTACACAACTTTTTGTTTTTGTGACATTTCTTGTTTTGCCCCTGTACCCTTCAATTGAGATAATACTTTGTTTGAAGTCGTGAAGCACATGTCCTTATCTGTTAACGCTTCATTGTTTTCTTCACGGACTTGTAAATTTGGATTAACTGTTCTAATGCACATTTAATGCAAGATATTGTCACACATATCATCTTTCAATTTGATCCATAAATCAATTAGTTTTGATGACAAGCATGTTAGATGTAAGAAAACAACGTTCATATTTGATGATATGTAAAAATTATATCATCACTGAGTGTTTGGTCCTTATGAATGTCATTTTCTAAAAGTTTCAAAAGTTAACAGGCTTCTCTGTAAGAGCCACACAATTCACCAGTTCGTGATGTTGGGCCTCGAACATTGACTAATAGCAATCGCAAATAAAAACACGCTTTGTTGCTTGGATGGACTTCATAAATTCGACGTATGGCATCAGTGTAATATACATTTAAGTGACCTGGAACTGGTTTTCCTTATTTCGGTCGTTAAAATTTCTTTGAGGATTTATTCCAAGTATCTTTATGGTTTCGTACTATTTGTTTTATTGGAATAAAGCAAAGCGGTAAGTAAATGAATCGAAAATCGATTTTAGCGTGCCTGAGGTCGATTCACTGAACCGATCCATTGCTCAAATATATCTTTACGACCCCCAAAAATAAATTCTTTAATTATTGATCTCTCAGATCGCCATTCCTAGTATTGACAACTAGGAACAGTTTGAATGGGAAAAAGAAAAATTTGGGTTTTACATTTTTCCGTATTTCATCAGAATCTTCCTCCGATCCGGTTAGTATGGTCAAATTTAAAATCTTGAAAGAGAAAAGAAGCCTTGCTTGCATAGATGACTCTGATATGATAGCTCTTCATCAGTCAATCAATTAATAAAAGGTCGAAAGGGAAATGCGTAGACAGAGAATCCTAGCATTCTCTGCATTCTCTGTCTACGGGGAAATGCTTTCTCGACGCCATTTTGACAGTGGACTTTATAGTAAATATTTTAGTAGATTTGTGTAGAGTAGATTATATATATATATATATATATATATATATATATATATATATATATATATATATATATATATATATATATATATATATATATATATATATTGATAGAGTAGTTACGTTTTTTTTACCTTGATTTTTCGAAGTGTTCCTAATTATTACTAAAGATTGTTTACTATTTTTTTTCTAAATATTATATTAGTTATAGTATACGACTCTATGTTTTGTCTCTGTCCTCCTCTTTGTTTTGGTTTAATAGGGCGGCAAAGCTTAAGGTTATTTATTGTGCTTAAGGCTTCCGTCTAGCTTTGCTGTTTTACATTCCCAGCCATTAGAGGGGGCGCTCTCCCCCTTGCATAAATATACATAATATAATATAAACAACTTGGCTTGTGTTATTGTACAATTGTTTTGACATAGCGAGTATATCAGTGTTTGCCGCTAGTTCGTTCAAATTTTCGAGACCACAACCAATACTGACCGTGCCCGCGACAATACCATGATTAACATTGTAATTAGCATTGGGATCATCGGTGCTTATATTAAATTCTGCGTTACATAATTGACATTTCAAGCACAACGTTGAAATGAAGCCTTTTCTGGTCTCACTGATGCATTTTAAATTTGAAAATCTGCATCCAAATGATTCATGAATGTGATCAGCAACTGCTTGCAGAGAAAGTAAGAAGTATCGTATAGAGACAATTCTACGTCCCTCTAAATCAAAATCCTCTTTTTTACTACACATTTCTTCACGTTCTACATTGAAGTCGAAACAATCACCCTTTTCACGTGCAGATGGCTGGCGCTAAAATAAAAAAAGTAATAACTTTGTTTTATATTTCTACAAGTCAAATTTTATGAGCCCATATTTATCATATTTTAATTACCTTAGTTTTAACTTTTCTAAAAGGCAGTCCACTGGTGTCTAAATAAATATTATTATTAGCTCTTTTAAATAGCAAAACTGCAAGTTTTTATTTGTGTACATAAATAAAAATAAATTACAATTTCAAAACAACTGCGATATTGTAGATATTAAACATGTACAAAGTTTTATGCACGATAATTGGTTAATTGCTACTCAAAAATAACTGTTAATATGTACCGAGTTTTCATTTTTGGGGTTTATTTGCTATATCTTGTCCTTTTGTTTCCTTAGAACCATTAGTTGGTATTAAAATACTTTTAGAAGAATATTGAGGTTTGTTCTCTTCACTCAATAATCTTCACTAACAATCACTCTTCAATCATTAAAACGAAAAGTATTACTTATATGTATTGTATATGTAAGTATTAAAGTTAATATGGCATTAACGTATATATTTTAATCAAAAAAGGCATAATATCATTTACTGGAGGCCAAGTGTTGCTAATATTTGACATCGGTTGACGATCGGTAAACGCAGTGGCGCTGACATTACTGAAAAGAAAAAAGGTCACGTAAATAAATTACTGACAATTCAAAAAAACTAAAAATAATATTATTTTAATGAATTCTATTATAATAGAGACGGAGCTTGCATTTTCCGGGATAAATTAAACACACACGTACAGACATAAAGACAGATAAGAATATTTCCAAACAATTTATCGTCATCAATATAGATAGTAATGAGCAAATAAAAGCGTCCGTATCGCAAGAAATGTATACGTAATTACTAGATTAGAAAACAAAGCGTCTTTATCGCAGTACCATAACCCTACTAATCACTATCCTAATTACAATAAATAAAACAATAGGTAAGCGTCTTTTTCGCGGAAACGTTCACAAAAATATTAGACGTAATTATGCGAACGAGGTGGCGGGGTCTGCGCCACCTGCGCTGCCCGCTCGCCGACAGTTCTCTAAGTAGCTAAGTACATATTGTATTATTATATAAGTAAGATGCTATTTTCAAAAATTTAAATAAATCCGTAAAAAATAACGTTTAATTGAAATATAATTGCTTCATGAAACGAAAATGTGAAAACGTATTTGTGTGTCGCCTTTGTAGCAGCACGTTGTACGTGTGTATAGATAATGCAATAAATAATATCTCAAATTACACTTGTATAGTTATGTCAATAGTATAGTAATAGTAAATAGTTTAATAATAGTATAGTATAGTTATGTAGTAGTAGTGTGTATAGTTATATCAATATTATTCACCTATACCGAGGTAGTATTCAACATACCTGCTTATTCTGTTTCTTTTCATCACTTCAACTCTTGCTTTACATTTCTTTATACTGACACAAGGATATTTCTTCTTTTACTCCATCCATCTTTTTCCGTTTATTTCTTTTGGTTGTAAATTGAAATTCACCAAATAGAAGTCAAAGTCAATTATTAATCTAACACACTAATACTAATATAAACACTAATACACTTACACACTAAAAACTAGAACTAATATGTATAATTAAATAAAAATAATATTACATATTTAAGTAGAGCAAATTTCATGATACGCTCCAGTCAGTCCATAAGAGCTGCGCGAGTGAAAGAGATTAACCGTGCGAGCGAGAGGTAAAATTACTTTGAACAACATATCACACGTCTGAACGCCGAGAAATCCCAGCGCATCCCAGCGGAACTGAGAACTTTCATTCTTGTTTATAAATGGTATATAGGTAAAAGGTACGAAAATATTTATTTATTTCTAATTTACTTGAAAATAGTTATACTTTATGTGGTTTTAAGTACTGTGCCACATTTATACTTCTAATAGAAAAAATAGATATTTGCAGTAAAAAATTCATGAAATAACCACTTTTTAAGCCCTTTAAATAAGAAAATTAAAGCATTTATAAAAAAATTACCAGATCAGATTATTGTAGACAATATGTAAATAAATGTGATCTGAATACTTTTCTTGATATTGTTATAGTTTGTACATAGTAGAGGCTTTAATAAGACCTTTTACGCATGTAACCTAAACATAGGCATGTTTAACGCCTAATAATTAATTTAAACACTAAAATAAAATTAAAAAACAGTTTCCAAAATATCAAATCCTACACTTTTAATAAATGTAAAATATGTTTTACTTTTTCTTTTTTAAATACTATAAAAAATATTTGTTTTGCTGTAAATTTTGCGAGAACACAAATTTTTA